ACACACACTCCTCAGAGTGTCCTGCACAGAGCCCTTACACACACACTCCTCAGTGTCCTGCACAGAGCCTTTACACACACACACACACTCCTCAGTGTCCTGCACAGAGCCCGTACACACATACACACTCCTCAGAGTGTCCTGCAAAGACCTCTCTCACACACACACACTCCTCAGAGTGTCCTGCACAGGCCTCTCTCACACACACACACTCCTCAGAGTGTCCTGCACAGACCCCTTACACACATACACTCCTCAGTGTCCTGCACAGACACTTTACACACACACGCCTCAGAGTGTCCTGCACAGAGCCCTTACATACACACACTCCTCAGATCATCGCTTTATCTAGTGTTGTTTTTTTCATATATTCATAAGGATGTTGAATCTTTCGGGATCTGCTCACTCAATTTTTTCTTCAGACACTTCCTACATGTTTCGAATGTACATCGACAACTTTGGAGAAACCTCACGGAGATATCCATTTTAATTACATTTTTTCTAACTTAAGAACATTTCTTGTTTTCGAGCTTTTAAAACAAAATATGCAGTCTTATCCCAATAGTTTTTTTTTTGTTTTTTAAAGAGGGAAAAGAAGAGAGGTATGAGCGGCGCTCAGCGGGGTGTGCGGGCGACAGCAGCGCGGTCAATCCGGGTTAATGCCCCGCTATCGATCCGCCGGGCGCGGCTATCGGAAATGAATTTCACGAGCCAGGAGCGACCCCTTCAGCAGGCGGGGCCGGGTCGGCCTTGCTCTCGGCTTCTCGGACGCCGGAGTGATGGATGTTAACTTTCAGCCCCTCTCCGCCAGTTCGTGCGGGTTTCACCCCTTCCCAGATCGCCAGCTGACTTGGTGAAGTTTCGCGGGGGGGGCAGACAGAGGGACAGGCTGGGAAGCGGACCGGCCAGCTCTCGCACTGCCGAATAAAACAGAAAAGCACGTTTTCATCCGGGTGTTTTTCTCCGCTTAGTCTTTGCATTTTTCCCCTTAAAAGTAGGGTTAATACAGTTTCCGACGTCTGCAGGTTGCTCAAGCGCTATCAGCTGTGGGGGGGCTGACCGCCTCGCCTTTGGTCGTTACATGTGTGCGGTC